TGCCTTTCGGATAGGACATTTCGAATTTGCACTGTCGTTTTGTACAGGCCGAACTTCGGAGCTAAACTGAAAACCGGTTCTGCTCGATGCCAGCGCCAACGGACCCAACGGTTTCGACTAAACGTAACAATAGAAATAAAAGCCATCTACCAGGGGTGCGTTCCAAAACCTACAGTAAAACTATAATTACATCTCTATACGTTTTGGATCGCAGCCCTGAAAGGTAAAATCCCCGCTCCGGGTGAGTATACCTGCTGCGTGCTATTAGAGCCTCGACGCTGCTCAAGAGATTTGTTGCGCTCGGAGGCCATAACTTCCGAACGGCTGCGAATTTCGATTTAAAACGTTGGGAACATATTCTTACAATGTTAAATAAACATTTTATGCAAAAAAAAAAATTCGATTTTTTGAAAGTTCTAATTGGATTTCCCCCCTTAAGAAACGTTTTAACAAATGTCCATCTCAGCTTTTCTCCGTCAGAGGCGCCACTCAGCGGCGCAGTCAGTGAAGCATGGACCACGTGGTTAGGTCGTGTACGTGTTAGTGTTAAGAGGTAGTGGCCTGGTTTACATCGTGCATTTGATACGCGTACTAAATAGTAACTTTCTATTAAATAATCTCAATATTGACAATGCATATCAACGACGACGCATTCAATCGATACGTCTTCTTGATAAGTATTATACCAGCTTAATATACCGTTGTTTATATACATCGTCGATATTAAGATTATTTAATAGAAAGTTACTATTTAGTATGCGTATCAAGTGCACGATGTAAACTAGACCAGTATCTCGCAAACAACAAAGCAAGAGTCGCGCAAGTGAGAGGGAGAATGTCATCCTCTTCTTCTCGCTCTCACTCGTTGACGCGCCGTCTTTCAAAACAGCGAGTGAAAGAGAGAAGAAGAGGACAATATTTACGCTTTTACTCGGTGTTTCGAAACAACTGAGCGCTCGCATTGTACGTATAAGCCAAGCGTCTATATAGGGTGTCTGACTCATACCGTACCAGAGCTAATATATAGCTAGAATAGGTGAGTAATAGAATCGGTGTCTTTTTTTAAGCAACTATGTAAAATTTTGAGATATTAATGATGAAAGATCTTTACCGAGCGGAAGCCCACTGGCCAATCAACACGTATGCTGCGGTGAGACGAACGCTGTACGCGCTGTAGCATTGGCATGACAGGCTAGCCGGGCTAGCCTCTTAACAACAAGGAAAACGCGTTGCTAGGAGGCTAGTCCGGCTAGCCTGTCATACCGATGCTATCCCAGGCAGCAATGTCATGTCATTTTCACATCGATAAATGGTGATTGCCAATTCTAAACGTCATGTAAACAATAACTGACATTTAAAAGACGTGATTATTTTGATGTGATAATAACGTCATTTAAAGATGTCTATAATACGTTTTTGAAAGATCATTTTTAGTCAGCTGTTCGATAAGCAAAGAATATGACAGATATTTATCTAATGTTCACTTATATCAACTGTGGTTTATGTAACCAACAGATTATTATTTATACACGTTGTTATTTATTTGTATTGTTATTTTTTATGTACTTGCATTTAAAGCATTTGACTCCTAGGAATAAGCCTTATAGAACTTGTCCTACCATTTCTTATTCACGAGTATCACATCATTGCAATTATCCAATTACTAGGATGATGTTCAAAGATGTGTTAATGAGAAAATGTTGATACCCAGATAGTACAGAGATTAATAGAAGATCATAGAGAATTCTCACAAATGGTTGGCTATCCGTGTTAATTTATATGTATAAACTTAATTAATTTAAATAAATCTTAACTGGTGAATTTTTTCTTTATTAAATTATACTCTTTTACTATTACTCAAAGTTTATAGTCTTTTATGACTTGGTCTATTTAATTTAATTAACAGTTAACAATAAAAAAATGTTTACTATAAAAATTTAAAGATAACGAAATGGAATGTGCGGGACTTTGTAGACCTCACTTCATTAGAGAGAACAAGTTCAATTAACAATAAAGGTACGAAAAATATAATTTTTATTAAAATTAAATCATTTTATTAAATCATATTATCAAAAAATTATATTACACGCTACGCTGTGTTAAGTATAACACATATAGACAAAATGTAAGACATTTATATCGATCGAAGAAGTGATGTAGTGTCTAAGCAACAGACTCATAACCCTGAGATGCCTCATGCCTTGGTCCAAGTTCAAGTCCCAGTGCCAGTAAGAACTTTTAAATGTGATGTGACATTGGAATCAAGTAATTAAAATTTTCAAATAAAATCAGCAAACACTACGACATTTACAAGTAGTTTCTGTTAGAAAATTGAACCAAATAAGGATATTCCGACACGTCATTTTTACGTCTCTTTATGACGTTATTTTCACGTTTTATTATTGACGTCGGCGGGCTGTAACTTATTCATTTTCACGCCATTATTACGTGATTATAAGGATAATTGACGTCACGAATGAAAAACTGACGTGAAAATCACGTTACGTTGTTGCCTGGGTTAACGCATACAACGTTTGTCTCACCGCAGCACGCTTGCTGATTGGCCAATGAGCTGCCGTTCGGTAGAGATCTTTTATCGTTAATATCTCAAAATTTTATGTGGTTGTTTAAAAAAAGATACCGATTCTATTACTCACACCGACCTATTCTAGCTATATGTTAGCTCTGGTACGGTACGAGTCAGACACCCTATAGAAGAAATACAGTATCTCCTGTTAAATTGATACGCAAGTCTCGTTAAATTATAATTATTTATGAAAATTATGTCAAATTTGTGTGTTTTTAATAGATATTTAATCATTTATGGAAAAGATATGATATCTGAACAAACCTATCTTCTTAAAAAAAAAGACGTCAAGTTTACGCGCTTGCCTGCGAAATTATACAAAAATAAAATTAAATACAAAAGTAAAATTATACAAAATTAATGTTTCTATAAAAAAAATATTTTATTTGTAAAGTAACACATTTAAAAATGTTAATAAGAAATATTGTTCTTCAAACTTCTATTTTTTACAAAAAACAATATCAGGTAGGCCAAGTGATTAAATATAGCCATGATTAAACAACCACATAAAATTTTGAGATATTAACGATAAAAGATCTCTACCGAACGGCAGCCAAGTGTAAATAATTCACATGTTTTTCTACATGAATAGAATTATATAAAAGAAAATATGTTCATATATGAAATATTTCACATACATACTTTCAGAAAACATAAATTTAAAGACGTTAAAACGTAATATTATTTAAATTTCTATTTTCTACAAAAGGGATGTTAAAAGACAATTATATCAAACGAAAATAGTATTGCATATATAACAGCTTTGTGTATATTCATATCATATGTGGTAACTATTGACTTCCTTTTGTTGATAACCATGTAAAAATTAAGGTAAAATAAAATTAAGAGTCATACATAAAATACTTAGTGTGTCTCAATAAGGTGCAATGAATTTTGCAAATTGATATACAAAATACTATTTAGAAAATATATTTAAATTATTTATATATATATGGGCACGCCAAGTGTTTTTTGTGTGACTCTTCATTTTATTTTATCTTAATTTTTACATAGTTACCAATAAAAAGAAGTTAATAGTTACTACATGTTGTGTGAATATGCACAAAGCTGTTATACACGCAATGGTATTTTCGGTTGATCTAATTGTCTTTTAACATCCCTTTTGTAGAAAATAGAAATTTAAATAATATTATGTTTTAACGTCTTTAGATTTGTTTTCTGAAAGTATATACGTGATATATTTCATATATGAACATATTTTCTTTCATATATTATAATTCTATTCATGTAGGGGAACACGTGAATTATTTTCATTTTATTTTCCTTTTTTTATACTACTTTACTACTAACTATACTTTAAACGTCTCATAAATAAAAAACTAGGGAATTCAAGTTTAATGTGGAGATCATATGACTGGTCCTCTCTGCCAACTTATCTGGGTAATTATTATTGAATACATTTTTTACCTACAGCTAAATATGGTACTCCGTTCACCGGCCGTGGCTGTGCGGTGTTCGCTGAAGTTTTAAACATTCGTCTTGATTGTTATAATTCAAATGTTTACTTATGATTATTTAATAATAACGTTAATATAAATTTTTTACATAAATGTTTAACTTCAAAATTACTATACTATATAATATTTAATTATGGCAATATATGACAATATTGAACAATATTTGATTATGGCCCACACAGCAGAAATGTCCCGAATATATATAAGGGATATCCTATAGATATTGAGATATCTTTATAATATCCTTGTGATGTATTTGAAACATTTCTGCTGAGAGGGTTCTGCTGTGGAGGGTTTATATTAACTTTGTTCGTTATTTCGATGAATTTCGATTTCTGAGAAATATACTCAGAAGTTCAAGTATTTCGTAAACATTCTCTATAGAGACGAAATTCATATATAATTGTATGTAATTATTTTTTCTCGAATTTGCAGCGTTTTTATGTCTTTCAAGATTCTAAATGTGTCATTACTAATAAGCACTAAATTCTTTTAAATTTTTTATTATAATGTGTAATATTTAAACATTTTATATGTATTGTCCTCTTTATAACAATTTCACTTTGTTTTCTTACCACATACTTTCCCTTGACAAGCTTGAATAATAACAATTTTCATAATATTTCTCAATTCCATGCAGCATAGAGTTCTTTCAATCACTTCTAGTGGAACTTCTTTCTCGTCTGATGTAATTATGCCTCCTATAATATAAAATTAATACTTATTTAAATAAATAAGCCGACAAACGGGATATACGGCTCGCCGCGGCCGGCGAAGAAAATAAACGATTGCTCGCAGGCCTATCTTACAAGCCTATTTCATAGACCCAGAGATGAGGACTACGTCATAGATCTGACACTGCGTGATAAGCCTCCGAGAAATATAAGTAGTTTGTTATAAGCTTGAAAACAAATTTGTCCAGCATATTATATTATTTTATAAAATTTTACAGAATAGAGATCATATGTGTCTACATCAAGTTTATATTTTACCAGCAAATTTATCAATATAATTAGAAAACAAATTGGTAGAATTAGGAAAATTATTTCTTAAAGAAAGAGTATCCTACTATCACTCAAGAAGTAATGAATCGTTACAATTTCCATTAATTTTTGGAGCGTTTCCAATAATATAAAGAGAGAACTTGATATCTGAGGATTAATAAAAAATAAATTCTTTCATTAGACTAAATGGTTGCATTCTGAATTGCATCAAAAGAAATAATATACAAACCATTCTACAATCCAATATATATATATATATATATATATATATATATATATATATATATATGGGGTGTTCTCTGTCAAATCGGCCACCCCCCTGCCCATTTCAATTTTTTAGATAAAATTCTTTAAAAGGGCTTAAAATTTCCATTGAAATGTCTAGTTTGCAATGACGTATGGCCTTTTTGAAAATTCAAAATGGCGAACCCGAAATGGCGACTAGAATGCAAACAGACACCGAAAAAACAAATATCGTGAATAAATTTTTCAAAACAATTAAATGTCACTTTATAAAGAGTAATAGCATATTGTTTACACCAAAAGACGGTTTTAATTATTTCTTCTCGTTCTTATTTCTTTTAATTGGAACGATAGAGGCACGACGCTCCTGATGCTCGAGCGACTCGTACGCTGCGTGCGGAATAGCAAGGTGGACAACACGACCATATCATGCTACTGAGTCTAATCGTCAATTGTTTCCTATTAACGTATTAACGTCTCCCGAAAAGCGAGGCAAATTTGCACAGTTTGCTAACCTCCCAGATAACAAAATGTTGTCACAGTGATATCATGGTGCGCGCACGCATGCCCATAATGTTACACGCATATTATCATACAGATGCGTCCTCATATGAGACTCATAATGCTCGCACATGTACGACCTCATGTGTGCGGGTCATACGCAGGTCATGTGCGGGTCATAGTTTCCACTGAGGACGTAATTTGGTTATTGTATTCTTCATTTAGACTGTTAAAATTTTACATTTGAAAGTGTTACACTTCTTTAGTTTTACTTTAAATGTATGTAAAAACTGACATATGTTTAAGTTTATGATTATTTCAAGATTCACTTTAACTTTGTGTTGAAATATTTTAAAAATGTTGATTTCCTACAATGAAATGTAGGAAATCAGATGTTAAAATAATTCAAGATAATGTCCCACGAGCACCGCCTTATATACCCTGTTACGTGGGTTTTTCAATTCGAGTGCTCGCATCATCACCGACGCCGCCTAGCGGCAATCCCAGTGAGAACAATTTTCATATGACAGATCGAAAAATGTTTAACACCCGAGGGATGAAAAATT